GCACCTCAGAGGGTGTGTCTGTCTCCTCTGGTGGCTGGGCTTCAACTGAGCCCTCAACTCTGCCCTTTATAGTTCAAGCCACACTCCTCCGCTTCTCCGACTAGTCTGACCCTAGCTGCTAAGGGCATAGTGAGGTGATCTTCCCTTTCTGGGACAGCGGGAAGCCAAACCGCCTCCCTACAGTGAGATTGTATTTCTCACCAGGATCTTCCCTAATGTCTCCCCCATTAAGAGTGAGATCTATGGCAATTCACTAGTTCAGGAGCTATGCTGGCTCCCTCTTAAGGGACACCAATGACTCCTGTCTCCTGCTGTTGGAAGAGACACCTAGATAAACGCTCCCAGGTCTGAGATAGGAATGGGGCAGAGATTAGTGGAATGTACTCCCGCTGTTGGGACCTGCGTGTAAAATTAATGATGGTGCAATAATTCATAATAGAGATCTAAAATTTTCCCCATACTTCTGCTTGCATAATTGGGAGGTAAATCCAGGCATCAGTCACTGGGGTTTGCCCAGGCATTGTGCTCATTCACTAGCCTTCTGAGGGAAGGCTTCAAGTTGTGTTATAGTGACTACAGTGACAATTCGCTATAAATTAGGTTCTGGTCTTACCTGTTTGATACAACCTGGAACTTGAACTTGCCTCTGGTATGGACTGGAGAGGCATGTGTGAATTTTTCATGTATTATGCCTTGAACTGGAGGGAAGAGAGACACAAAATGAGTAACAGAGGGACAGAGGAAGAGAAATAGCTAGAGGCTAGAGGGGGGAGAAACAGAGATAGAGGGACAGAAGGAGACACACCGGGGGAGAGACTGACTGCCAAAGCAAGGCAGTCAGATAGCACCCTCTCACTCCAAGGAAAAAGTAAGACACATGAATGGGGGGGAGAGAGCCCCTTTTGCAATGGCCATGAAATCAGTCATGTGTAGGTTGTCCAGCCCTGGGGGAGTGGGGGAAGGAATGTGGGTTGGGCAAAGTGTAGAATTGCACCACTGCAGAATTTTTCTTCCACACTTTAAATAGCCAGTACCTTTCACTACTGCTTTCACATTTCCCTCCAGCCAGACCCTTGACAGCTCGTCCCTTAAGGTAAATGGCTCACTGTTTTCTTCTGCTTTCCTTCCCCCAACTCCGTTAGTTAACAGGTCAGAGTTTGCTGTTTGTTTAATAATTTTCTAGTGTGTAAAGCTTTTTCCCTCCCTTATTCTGAGGAATTGTCAGATGTTCGGGGAGAGTTTCTTACTGCTGTGTGGGTGGATACACAAGCAGACCTTCTGGCTCATGCTGAGGTAGAACCCCCTCTTTTCTAGCTATTTTGGGGAACACCATTTGTTGCCATTGTGTTTTTCAGCTCTTTGCAAGAAATGGCTGTACATGAGAATTAGCTGTGGCTTTGACAAGCACCTCAGTGGGGCACAGGAGAGATCAATGGGAGAAGCTGTGTGCTGGAATGTGTTTTCTATTGCTTAAATAGTTCTCGGCGCTCCTAGCTTATGCACAGTACCTAAGTAGGAGCCACAGCCATCCTTCTCCTTCTCAGCTTTGCTGCCGTTAGTACTCTTTGTTGGGAAGGAATAGGCACAAATATTCCATGAATTACTGCAGCAAAACCCTGGTACAATCTGTACCTCAAAGCAATGTTTCACTGCAGTATTCTGACACTCTGCCTGTGAAGGATTTTACACTTAATCCAGTCCCAGCCTCTCAGTAAAAGACTCTCTCTGGGGGAACTTTGCAGGACAGTGAACAACTAGGATTAGAACAGCTGTGAGCTTCCCTACCAGCAGAAGCACTTTAATAAATAATGCCTGAGCACCGGCTCTGCAGGAATCCACAGTTACTGCAGTCCCAGCCTCTGTTAGTAGGAGTCACTGTTGGATAGGAGCAGCGGCTTTGGGCCCCTGACAGCTATTCATTTCTAACCTCACCTAGCAGACATTGTAGGGCAATGGTTTTAGGGAATGGAGCAGGGGCACTGGCCTTGGAGGAATTCACAGCTGTTGCCCATCCTATGTTACACTTAATTTCACACAACTGCTATGCCTTTTCCTTCCCTGTAAGCTACACCTTTAAATCACTAAGAACTCTGCTCTCTCCAAGAGAGGCAGCTATTTTGAGAGGCAGAGCTGCTGCAGTGTCTTGCAGAGGAAACTCACACTGTGCCCTCATCGAAACCTTATTTTACTGCTTATTCTTGTTCTCCTAAAGGGGCACTTGTCAGCATGGGGGAAAAAAAATTCCCATTTCTCTCTGGAAAAATTGTATCTTCTCTACCTACAAGTAACACTGGTAAGATCGCTACACCTGACAGCCGAAACACTTTGCCCTGGATTTGTCGGTTTGTTTACTTTGTGCGCGTGATGGTGTTTGATGCATGGAACGTTACTCTCAGGATATAATTATGTTCACAGCTTCCCTGTGGAGTGGATCAGTTTCTTCCTTACTGAAAAAACCCATATAAATGGCAACACGGGAATAGAAAAACACTCATAAAATATCTTCAAGGCATTTTTAAAAATCTGGCAAAGCTTGTCTCCAAGGTTTGTACAGCTCCTGGGACAATGTGGCCTTAGTCTAGATTAAGGCCTGTGGGTGTTAGCATAATATACATAACTAATAATATTAGAAAACATTTATTACTTTAAGGATACTTTTTCACAAACTAGAGAGTTTGGAAGTGAGTCAGTTTTAAATACTAATGATGGTTTCACCCCTTTAATCCAAAATAAATTGGTGAGATTGAAAATGGGGTGCTTTTAGTATATTCTCCAACAGGAATTGTAAGGAATGGCACAAGAAGATCTAGTGGTGTTGGTCTGTCTCTCAGCTGTTCTAGCCTAAGAGAGAAATAAATTGAGGAGTCCCCAAATGAACTGTACTGGGGACTATTCAAACAAATTCATAAATGATCTGGAAAAATGGGTAAATGGTGTGGTGGCAGATTTTGCAGACAATATAAAATTACTCAAGATAAGTCCAAAACTCATTGTAATGAGTGTCAAAACTAGGTGACTGGCCAACAAAATAGGCAAAATTGTATGTTGGTAAGTACATATTGGAAAATATAATCCCAACTATACATACACAATGATGAGATTTTTGAGCCATTGTGAAATTGCCATTCAGTGTGCAATGATGGTTAGAAAAGTTAACAGAATATTAGGAACCATTAGGAAAGGGATCACAATGCCAATATATAAATCCATGGTGTGCTTATACTTTGAATACTGCATGCTGTCCTGGTTTTCCCATCTCAAAAAAGACACATTAGAATGGGAAAAGGTGCAGAGAAGGGCAACACAAATAAAGAGGGGGTATAGATCAGTTTCTGTAGAAGGAGAAATTAAAAAGAGTAGGGCTGCCCATTTTAAGAAAAGCGATGACTACAGGATGGGTGGAGATAAGACAATAAAATTGAGACTGATACTGAGCAGGTGAATAAAGCCTTTACATAAGCCTTTACATAACACAAGAACGAGGGGTCATTTGATTAAATTAATAGGCAGCAGGTTTAAAACAAACATAAGAAAAATAGTACTTCACGCAACACTACATTCAGCCTGTGGAACTCATTACCAGGGCATGAAGTTATCCATTTGTGAAGGCCAAAAGCATAGCTAAGTTCCATAAGAGACGTTCGTGGAAGATTGGTCCGTCAGTGGCTATTAGCCTAGATGGTCAGAGATGCGACCCCATGCTCCGAGTATCACCAAGCCTCTGACTGCCAGAAGCTGACTCTGGATGGTGGGAGATGGATCACTTGATAATTTGCTTTGTTCCGTTCATTATCTCTGCTGCTTCTGGCATTGGCCACTGTTTGAAGACAAGATACTTGGTTAAATGGACCACTGGTTTGACCCAGTATGTTCTTATACATTTCTGATGTGTTAAATGAATTGTAAACTTAATGCTGAAAAATGATTCCAATCCTTTGAAGGTGGGATGGATTACAGAGTTCCTGGGGCAGTGAGCAATGGAGAGACAATACCTGCTCATCCGGGCATGGAAAAGGAGAAAGAAGAGGCTACTCAAACACTGGAACGAGGCCATTGGAACAACAAACTGGAATACGTACTATCTGTAGCTGGGGAGATTATTGGCCTGGGTAACGTCTGGAGGTTCCCTTACCTATGTTACAAGAACGGTGGAGGTAAGTGCTTCCGTAGCTCTAACCACTTCAATCAGCTACCCTATCTATACTCTTATGTCCCTCCATAGTTCTCCATTGGCCTTAAAGCTCCGTGGTCACTTGCATTTTGAATTGCTCTCTGCCTATCTGCACTTGAAAGCTTTGTTTCCTAGAGGTGCTCAGTGAACTTGTTTGCACTTTGTGAGTATGCACCTGTATGTACAGCAGGCCTGGTTCCTAGAGGTGCTATGCTTGCCCAAGAAATGCATTTCTGGGAAGGTGGTGGGTGGACCGAGGCAGCAATATGCACTTGGTACCATATGTCTTGTAATTTTCCAGTGTCAGTCTGCACCAAATTTCCCACAAGTGCTGCGTGTGTTTGTCCATTGCTAGGCACCCTGTTTGCTAGAGGTTTCCAGAGTCCTCATCTGCATCACAGGGCTCCATTTGTGGGAGTGCCTAGGGCAGGGGTGGATAATAATTTTCACAGGGGGACCGCTTAATGAATTTTGGTATGTGGTGACAGGCCAGCCTCCCCCCAGGGTTGTCTGGAGCTGAAAGCTTTGAATTAAAAACACAGAAAAGGGCTTGTGGCTCCTGGTCCAACCGCTACCATGTTGCCTGGCAATTGCCCAGGGTTGCTGCAGCTATTTTAAGGGCTCCCAGCTCCAGCTGGGGTAGTGCCAGGACCATGAGCCATTTAAATAGGATCCTGTTGCCTGAGCCACCGGTTGGAAATTTGGTGGCACGGGCAGTAGGATACAAGTAGAAAGTGGCCAGATGTAGCCCATGTACCGGATCTGGCTCCTGGGCTGCATCTTGCCCAGCCCTGGCCTAGGGTCTGCTGTCTATGTCCAAGAAGCCATTTCCTAGCAGTGACCAGAGTAGAGTTCTTCTCACAGCGTACGTCTAGACTGCAAGGCTATTTTGAGGTACCGGAGGTATCCCAATATAGCTACCCCGTGTCCAAGGAACGCATCCGCTATTTCAAAATGATTTTCAAAATAACGGATGCGCTGTTTCGGCATCCCTGTAAGTGTTTTGTTTCAAAATTTGGTGCCATTTAGGTCGACCAAATTTTGAAATGAAATAAAATTGAAATAGATACACAATTTGCGCTACTCAAATTGAGTATCTTATTTCAGTTTTAGAGTGCAGCCTAGACGTACCCATACAGGCCTGGCATATCTGCACATTTCCTAGACGCTCCCGATGAGTTAAGGACTCCAGGTGTAGTACGGGGGTTCTGTACCTTTTTCTTTCTGAGGCCCCACTGATATACTTGAAAACTCCACAGCCCACCAGTGCTACAAGAGCTGTTTTTCTGCATATAAAGCCAGGGCTGGCATTAGGGGGTAGCAAGCAGGGCAATTTGCCTGGAACCCCACACCACAAGGGGTTCCTGCAAAGCCAAGTTGCTCAGAGTTCAGCCCCAGGTGGAAGGTCTCAGGCCTTTGGCTGCAGTTCTGTGCAGTGGGGCTTTGGCTTTCTGCCCTGGGCCCTAGGAAGTCCAACATGGGGAGTGCTTGGTGGATCCCAGGGGTCTGGTAGAGGACCACTGGTGTAGTGCATGTCCTGGAGGGTACCCAGCATGGTTGTCTGACCCTGCAGAGATACCTGCCTCGTACTCATTGGGGGCCTGGAGAGATCCTGTAATGTGTATGAGTTAAATCACTGTAGGTGAAGGACCTGCCCACCAGGAAGTCGAACATTTAATAGCTAAATGCTTGGGCACCTCGAGGGAGCCAGTTTTCCAGAGGTGTCAGGCGCACAGTATTTCTGAGGGGATCTAGCTTCTCTATCACATCATCTGCCTCTCTTGTATTGCTAGTCGGTGGTGCTAACACTAGTGGCACGCCATCTCCAGGAGGGAGACGGGTGAGGGGAAGCACAGTGACAGCAGTGTCTGAGACAGGCTTTATGGGGAAAATGGCTGAGGCAATATTCAGCCGTTGTTGTTAACGGTTCTAAATCCTGCTGGAAAGGGATAACAAGTAGAGTTCCTCAAGGGTCTGTTTTGGGACCCGTACTGTTCAATATCTTCATCAATGATGTAGATATTGGGATAGAGAGTACACTTATTAAGTTTGCAGATGATACCAAACTGGGTGGGGTTGCGACTTCTTTGGAGGATAGGGACATAATTCAAAATGACCTTAGCAAGTTAGAGAAATGGTCAGAGGTAAACAGGATGAGGTTTAATAAAGAGAAATGCAAAGTGCTCCACTTAGGAAGGAACAATCAGTTCCATACATACAAGAGGGGAAGCGACTGTCTAGGAAGGAGCATGGCGGAAAGGGATCTAGGGGTCATAGTGGACCACAAGTTGAATATGAGTCAACAGTGTGATGCTGTTGCAAAAAAAGCAAATATGATTCTAGGTTGTATCAACAGGTGTGTTGTAAGCAAAACTCGTGAAGTCATTCTGCCGCTCTACTCTGCACTAGTTAGGCCTCAGCTGGAGTACTGTGTCCAGTTCTGGGCGCCACATTTCAAGAAAGATGTGGAGAAATTGGAAAGGGTACAGAGAAGAGCGACAAGAATGATTAAAGGTTTAGAGAACATGACCTATGAAGCCAGGCTTCATGAACTGGGCTTGTTTAGTTTGGAAAAAAGAAGATTAAGGGGGGACATGATAGCGGTTTTCAAATATCTAAAAGGGTGTCACAAGGAGGAAGGCGAAAATTTGTTCCTCTTGGTTTCTGAGGACAGGACAAGGAGTAATGGGCTTAAAGTGCAGCAGGGGAGGTTTAGATTGGACATTAGGAAAAAATTCCTAACTGTCAGGGTGGTCAAATATTGGAATAAATTGCCAAGGGAGGTGGTGGAATCTCCCTCTCTGGAGATATTTAAGAACAGGTTAGATAGACATCTGTCAGGGATGGTGTAGACGGAGCTTGGTCCTGCCTTGAGGGCGGGGGGCTGGACTCAATGACCTCTTGAGGTCCCTTCCAGTCCTATTATTCTATGATTCTATGATTCAGAGACTCCTCTTGTGACTGAAGAAACCCAGCGTCGCTTCCATTCCCTGCAAATCTTCTTGCCTGACTGTGATGGCACGTACATGAGATGGATGTGTAGGTGGGGATGGAGTGTGTGTGTGTGTGTGTGTGTGTGTGTGTGTGTGTGTGTGTGTGTGTGTGACCTGCCTTCCTTGTCTGTCACACTGAGCACTCGGGGGCTACGAGGTAATAGTCAGTGATGGACATGTGAGCTTATGGGGGGTATTTCCATGTATCTTCTCTATGGGGAATTCCCCCATGAGATCAATTCACTATCTGGGAGGACTGGTTTTAGGGTTTACTGTTTAACATTTTTTTCTTAAAGAAAAATTGGAACCCTATCCTCTCCCTACAACTCCTGTTAGGGGCCTCGGATATTCCTGTGTTTTCTGCGGAGAATTTCTCCAGCATGTGGAGCAGGAATTACCCTCCCTGTTTGATTGCCAGTCAGACTCTCCTGAAGTTTTCAGTTGGCAGTGTGAGGGGCACGAGGACGTGTACTGAAATCTCCTGGATTTCACTTGGAAAAGTCTCCTGGATCTATATAAACTGCTTTCCCATGCCATTGGCATGAAGAGGATTAGCCCACTAGCTACTTTCACATTAGCTTTCACTTGGTATTTGTTTCTTTTCACCTAGTGCTTGGGAATGCTGTTTTATTTTTGAGGGGGGATTAGACAAAGGGTTTTTCTTGTTTTTCATTTTTAATCTGGAACGTATCTAGGTCACTAGCTGCGTGATTTCTGCTTTTATTTACTGCTCTATTCCCAGGGGCTCCCTATACAGCCCCAGAAGTACTTTGGGATAATGCGAGAACTAGGTGCTGCTGGAGCAGGAGAAGCAGTTCTCTAAGACACCCTACCCCTGTTGCTGATGTATATTAGTGAACCAGGATTTGGTAATGGTTATCAAGTGCTAGAGTCCCAAGAGGAAAGTGATGGCTTTGGGTACAGACCTTGTGAAGCTGTTTTATCAGAACACAGTTTGGTCTGATCAGTGGTCCCCAACCATTTGAAGCTGCCGGGTGCCAGGGGGCGTGGCCATTCGCCTGCTGGGTGTCAGAGGGCAGGGACACTCGTGCACCTGGGGGCGGGGCCGTACATATGACACATCCCCATGAGCCAAGTGCCTGGGGCCAGCAACCCTATGTGCCGTGTGGCCACGAGTGAGGTGGCCGCCCATTCGCAGTAAGCCTGGGGCCAGTGTTCTCCAGAGCCGTGTGCCCAAAGCCGGCACCCCCCAATATCTGTGTGCCCGGGGCCGGTGCCCCCCAATTTGCCAGGGGCTGGTGCCCGGCGCCCCCCAATTCGCTGCGCGCCCAGGGCTGGCTCCGGCCCTGCGCATGCGCCCAGGGCGAGGCTAGCCCCGAGCACTTGGCAGGCACAAATGCCCCTGCGGGCGCCATGTTGGGGACCACTGGGTCAGATAGTTCAGGGTAGAGGGAGATGAGCTTCCAAAATGTTGTCATAACTAGAAGTGAACCGGACCCAGAACTACAGACCCAAGCATGTGGGGGAGTTAAATTCTATATCCGAATCGGTCATCTGGGGATGGCATCAGTGTGAAATTATTCACACACTATTTTTTCAACAGACACTGCGGATTCAGTTGGACCAAAACGATTTGTGAATTCATGAATTGTTTCAGTCACAGAGCGGGAAAAAACCCTCTAAAAATATCAAAGTGGTTTGTTTCAGCATTTCCAAAGCAAAGTGTTACATTTTGTTTCATAGTTTCCCTCAATTATATTAGAAACAATTAAAACCTTTTTAAAAAAAACCTCAAAATCAAAATGAAATTTTTGGGGCATTTTGGTTCAATAAACTTTTTGATATTTTGCTTCAACCTGAAATTAATCTTTTGTTTTAAAAAATGTCAAACCCACCCTTGAACTGGATATTCAGTTTTGCACAGCTCTGATTGCAACTCTCTCTAGCTGCCTTCCTCTGAAGTTTAAAAAAAAAAATTCATAATGCCATGGGTTTTTTTGTAAAGTGAGGAGGAGGTTATCAAACAGCC